TTAACTTCATGGCTGCAATCACCATCTGCAGTGATTTTGGAGCCCAGAAAAATAAAGTCAGCCACTGCATCCACTGTTTCCCCATCTATTTGCCATGAAGTGATGGGACCAGATGCCATGATCTTAAATAGGCTCCAATTCCACAGTGTGTTACTGGAGACACAAAGGGCTATAGGGACACAGAGGCATAGACTGGCCTGACTTGGGGGACAAGGAAGTCAGGACATCTAAGCTGACACCAGAAGGACCAGCAGAAGTGGCTCAGGCCAGGGGGGTAGGCTTGAGTGGTGGGAGCAGGGAAGAGGGCGTTCCTGGCCAATGGAACAGCAGGAACAAAGGGCTGGAGGTTGACATGTGCTGAGAAAACATAGTTCTGTATGTCAGCAAAGAGGCCAGCAAAGACCGGACTGGGAGCAGCCGTGCAGGCTGGACTAGGGGCCTGGACTGGAGGGTGACAGAGAGCCTGGGAAAGGTTTAATCAGGTGGGGGTGTGTGACATGAATGGGTTGGGGGTGGTGATGAGAGAGGGGACAGGGAGAGCAAGAAGCGGGCCAGTGCAGGCTTCTGGGGCGAGACAGAAGGCACCGGTGGGCTCTAGGTTTAGAAGCAACAGGCTGACGTGGTAATTGAGGGGACAAGAAGGTGAGAAAAGGAAGACTCCTGGAGGGTGGGGGGTTGCCCGGGGGCAAGCAGGACCGGGTTGGGAATCAAGGGGTGGGTTTAGACCATGCTGGAGGTACAGACAGGCCTCTTCCTCCAGGCCTGAGGGCACACCACACCCGGCAGCCACGGGGATGTGCGGGGTTGGGGGCACATACCACTTTCCGTGTCACCACTGCCAGAAAGCTCCGAGGAGGGTGGGCGAGCCTGCTGGTGAGGCGTCAGACCATGCCCCAGGTCAACTTTCCCCCTTCTTCTCCTCCTTCCCCCAACTTCTAGGGTTTTCTGTCCATGGGAGGGAGAGGAATGGCTTAGCATGGTCCCAGTGGCTTGGGGTCGAGGGGGAGGCAGTGCCAGAGAAGAGGGTCCTCCTAGGATTCCAGTCTTCTGGCCTCTCTGCTCTCACTTCCCTGGGCCACTACTCATGGAACTCCCCTCCCCTGCTGGCAGCACATCCTCCATCCACTGATGGTCCAGCCCCAGGACCCAGAGTGTAAGGAGCAAGCCAGGGGCACCCACAAATTCAGAAGGACCAGGCCCTGCAGGGAAGGGACTGGTGGACCCAGGGAGCGTCCCCAAGGCAGGGTGACGGGAAGGACCCAGTGAGCAGTGTGAATGTGTGAGCACCAGGGGGTACTTGCAGGATCGAACGTGCACACCTGGACCCAGCCACCCGATCAGAGATTGGTAGACACTCCCAGTAGATGCAGACAAGTGTGTTCATACCCAGCGCCAGTCACACACATACATACATCCACACACACATGCCCTCACTAATAGGGTTCCAATACAGCTCAGCAATTTACTAGATATGTATGAGCAAGTTATTTAGTTTCTTTGTTCCTTAGTTTTCCCATCCGTAAAATGGGGATAATTATAGTGTTTCCCCCCTTCATGGATCCGCTATGAGGACTGAATGATAACTAGCTGCAAAGTGCCTGGAATAGTGCCTGACACACAGCAAGTGCTCAACAATTGCCCCCTGGTGTAGGTGTGGACACAGATTTCAACTGCACTGTCTGAAAAAATCTTATGGCTCCCTCGATCACAGTTCAAAGACAGAAGAACTAGGGGACATTCGGGGTGCCATCATAATGTTAGGATGAGGCTTTTCCACCTTGAAATAACTCTTGGACCTGTGTCTGCCTAGAAGAGGTGGCAGGTGGAACTCTGTGATGTTCTGAATGAGTCTCTGGCCTTCCCTGAGGGTCTCAGGGAAGCTGTCGTCCAAGCCCCTCCCCCACTGTACCTGCAGTCCCGCCTTTTGGATTTTAGATGTATACCCTCCAGTCCCCCTGGACCCCAGTTCCCAACCCAGCTTGCCCAGGCCCTGGGAAAACCATTCCAAGAACAGGAAGCTACCTGGCAGAGAAATACCAGCTCTGTTACTGGAGAAGAGTGGCATCCACACATCCCTCCTCCCTCTGCCCCAGCCCTTGGGCTTCCTTTCCCATCAGCCCAGATTCCTCATGTCTTGAGATGGCATTGCCCACTGGAGCCTCTCTAGAGGTGTCCTTCCCCCTCCCTACTGTCCCTGAGCTGACTTTTCTGACTCTGGAGGTCTTGACCAGGGCCCAGGGCACCAGGCAATCAGAGGGCCAGGCCTCACCCGCCCACGGAGCCTTGCTGAGCTTCCCTCTGTGCTCAAGTTCACTCACATCCTTTCTCTCCCTCAGGGCTCTGGACCATCCTCTGGGGTCCTGAGTAGTCTTATAGGACCTTTGGGCCATCCTCTGGGGTCCCGAGTGGATCCCCGCTTTACAGAGGAAGAAACTGAGGATCAGAGAGGGGAAGCACCTTGCCTGAGGCCACACAGAGTGAAGATGGAGCCAGGACCCATTCCCAGTACTGTGGGCCTCCCTCCAGACTGTGCCCTCATGCCTAGAGTGAGCTTTCCAGCTGCCAGAGTGAGGGTCTAAGGGGTGATGTAGGCAGAGGAACTGGGATTCCAATAGCTAGTACTATCAGCAAGTGAGGCCCAGAGTGGGGAGTTTTGCAATAGTTCAGGCAGTACAGAGATGAGAGATGACCGCGCCGCACTGACCGGGTCTGCAGGCTCCTTCTCTTATCAGGAGCTTGGCTTCATCCTGTGATCTGGCCCCTCAGGACACCCCACCCCACTTGTCATGCATCTTTGAAGCGCAGTCATGGACCAGATGGAGCCTCATTTCAGTTCAGTTCAGTCACTCGGTCGTTCCTGACACTTTGTGACCCCATGGACTGCCGCACACCAGGCTTCCCCATCTTTTGATAGAGCCTCAGTTTTCTCTCACCAAACAGAGGGTGCTAGGTGACCCAGGAGAAGATCACCTAGCATTGCATGTCAGAATCTCAGGTTCTTACCCTTAAGATAGTGTTTTCCCAGGGCCACCTGAGTGACCCAGCGACCTACTCAATGTTCCCTGTGCCCTATGTGGGCGTTGGATGGGACCCACATGAGTCCTCCACTCAGAAGCCTGGCCTGGCATTACTCCCACCCATATGGCCCAGGTGAAAGGTTGTTTCTTCCCTGGGGAGAGGTGGCACGAATGGAGCCAGCTGTTGGCAGGACCGGTCCTTAAGGCCCACACAGAGCTGGCCAAGTTACTGCACAGCTGGGCTGCGGATCCTACAGGTGACTGACCTCCAGGCCTGCCGGGCAGGTGCACTCACAGTCTTATCTGCCTTTTCCACCACCGACTTCCCTTGTCCTCCACACTCACACTCCCCTCCACCTCCCAGCTTGGCCCTTCCTTTCAGTAACACATGCTTAGTACAAACAGATAAACTAACCTTGTCGAGTGCTCAGGGCTGGTGCACTGGGAAGACCCAGAGGGATCGGATGGGGAGGGAGGCGGGAGGGGGGATCGGGATGGGGAATACATGTAAATCCATGGCTGATTCATGTCAATGTATGGCAAAAACCACTACAATATTGTATAGTAATTAGCCTCCAACCAATAAAAATAAATGGAAAAAAAAAAACAAAACCACCAACTAATCTTGTTGGAGCCTGGGAAGCAGAAACAAGTGGCTCTGTCACTTCCCTCAAACCAGGCTCCATACTCCTAGTGATGTGGCCACACATGGACCACAGGGGGCGCCCAGCAGCGCGAAGTAATGAGAAGGGGAATATGATCCAGAAAGAGAAACATGGCCCAGGCCGGATGAAGCTGCTGGTAACTCGTGTTTCCCTGATCTTGCCTTCCCTGTTCTTGCCTTCCCTATTCTCTCCCATACCTGACTCTTTAAACCCCACAATGATAGTGCATTCTCCATAACGCTGGCTAAAGAAAACATAGAAACTACAGAAAATTCAAAGGAAAAAGAAGGGAAAAAAAATCAAGGTCATTGATGACTCTGCAACTCAGAGCCAACCACAGACACCATTTTTGCATCAATCCTTCCTGTTACTTTAGACATCTTAGGAGTATTTTGGCATGTACTTTCCATGGTCATATTCAATATACAATTTCAGATTCTCCGTTTTTCAAGTTATTAAACCACATCAGCCTTTCCCCAAGGACTAATGATGACAGCTGATGATGGGTTTTCCCTGTTTGAAGTGCTTTACCTACATGAACACATTTAACCCTCACTACAACCCAGTAAGTACTATTATCATGCAGAATTTACAGATGAAGAAACTGGAGTCCAGAAGAGTCACACAGCTTGTAAGTGGCAATGCTGGGATCCAAGCCCAGTAGCCTGGCTCATAACCAGTGCTAAATCATTGGCTACTCTAGAGTCTCACAGAACATGATATTACTGACCGTGGAGCATAAGTTACATTCTGTAGGTGTAACATCCTTCTTCACCCATCCCCTACAGTCTTACTGAGGTGAGGCTGTCGTCAACAAGGCTATAGGACACTCATCCTGTAAACAACTTTTTGTGTGTTTTGGATGGTTTCCCAGACCAAATTTCTTAGTCAAAGGATAGGGTAGTTTTGTTTTGTTTTGAATATTTATTTGGTTTCCCCTGGTCCCTGACCACCATCACCCAGTTTTGGATTTCCACATCATGGCTGCTTCCAGACCCACATGGTCCTGGCTGAGAAAGTCAGCATGTGTGAGAAGGGTTAGGGAGTGCCTGTAAAAGGGACTGCACAAACTGGAGGGAAGCCTCCATGTATGTGTGTGTGGGTGGGGGAGTGGGGCCTTTAAATCCGCAGGGAGGAAACCTGGGGGCTAAGAAACAAGTGCTCAGGTGTTCTGCTCCAACTTTAGCACCTACTGGTGCTCAGTGCTTGACTCCCACTACCTCAACTTGAAGCCCATTGCACAGATGAGCAAACTGCAAAGGGGTTACAGGCTGGTCAGCTTTTCAAAGAGCCAAGACCATTGACAGTGACTTATCACCCCAACGCAGAGATACGGCTGTGGGCTGATGGGAGAGCTGGTTACAATTTCTCCCACCCTCTCACCTTCTATTGATGATTAAAAGAAGATAAAAGTCGGACAGCCCAGCTCGCCACAGATACATCCGCCATCTGACATCTGCGGGGTGGACATCGTCCCAGACTGTGGCAGGAGCTGGCTGGCCAGAGAATGAATTGGATCCTGTGCTTGAGCCTCACCCTCCTTCTGGTGGTGCAGACAGCCTGGGGTAAGCCCCTACCCTTCCCTGGTTCAAGAGGGACATAAGCCATAGGGACAAGGCCAAAAAAACAAAAAAAGATCTAGAACATTTCCAACACCTGACATGCACCTTCCCAGGCAATATCCTCCAAGTAACCACCACCATTCTGATGGCTATCATAATTTAGTTTTGCCCATATTAACACATTGATTTTTTTTTTCTTGGTTACATGCAGGAACTTAGCTCCCCAGCTAAGGATCAAACCTGAGCCCTCTGCAGTGGAAGTGCAGAATCTTAGCCACTGGACCGCCAGGGAAGTCCCCACATTAAAAAATTTTTTTAACTTGAAAAAAAAAAATTTTTTTTTTTAACTTGAAACTTTGCTAAAACAACTTTAGCATTCTGGCACATTGTCTGTTAGTCTTTTTATTGCATATTTGTATATAGCTGTGATATAAGCACCTAAACAACTTTATTCTGTTTTTTTTCACTTAAGATCATGCATAAATAGTTTATAACTTGAGTTCATAATTACATTTACTTTTCCTGAACTCCAGATACAAATAATGCTTCTTGTCCTCACTATGGCAAGTATGACTGTAATTCATAGTCTTTCTTTTAATACATTTCTGACTAGTTTCATAAGGGTGGACCTAGAGTGGAATTACTGAGTCAAAGCATGTGAATATTTTATGGCTCTTATACATTTTGCCAAATTATTTTTTCAAGGTGGTGTATCAGTTTATCTTCCACCAACAGCATATGTGGGTGTCCTTTTCATTGCATCTTTGCCAGAATTGAGTGTATCATTTTTCAAAGATTTCTTTCTTTTTCTTTTTTTTTTGGATGTGGACCGTTTTTCAAGTCTTTACTGAATCTGTTACAATATTGCTTCTGTTTTATGTTTTTGGTTTTTTGATGGGGAGGCATGTGGGACCAGGGATGGAACCACACCGCCCCCTGCATTGGAAGCACAGAGTCTTAACCACTGAACTGCCAGGGAAGTCAAGGTGCCATTGTTTTTAATTTATTAAGTGGAAATTGTAACTCTTGGTTTCAATTCGTATTTTATGACTTCTAAAACCATGGAATATTGTTTTCCTAAGTGTTTACGTATTGGCTCAGGGTAGCGGAGTTGGGCCCGGGAACACACCTCATCAGCTCCGATTCAGGGGTGGAGAGCACTCTCACAGGCTTAGGTGCTCCCAGAGGCTGGGGTGAGGACAGTAAAGCATTGCTGTTTAAGCAGAGCTCTGATGTGAGACAGTCTGTGTCACCCCGGACAAGTCGTATACCACTTTGAACCTCCATTTCCACATGTGTGTAGTAGGAAAATACAAAACAGTTACCTTATAAATTTTTTTAGGCAGATGAGGTGAGATAGCATAAAAGTGTTTGGCAGAGCGCCAAGCTATAATAAAAGATCAGTCAGTCATAGTCATTAGCTATTCAATCATGAGTGGACCCAGAATTCAGGGCAAATCTGAGAGATATGATAGATCTTGACCTCCTGGCTCTGTCCTATGAGATCTCAAGCTGGTCACTAACCATCTCTGGGCCTCAAGGCCCCACCCCACTCCTCCAAGGGCCACTGAGAAGCCTACATGGGAGGACCATGACAAAGGGCCTTGTAAGTTGCAAGGGACTACACACACACAGAGGAGGTTTGAGATGGTCCCTTGCCCCCACTGGCACACACCTCCATGTTTGAAGGGTCACTATCACGGCCAGTTCTCTGTGCCCAGATATTACTCATGTAAGACACCTGGGGACATGGGCAGAGAGGCCACCTGCAGCTAGGGTGTGAGGGTGTGTTCTTACCACACCAACTGTTGTTATTCAGTTGCTCAGTCATGTCCAACTCTTTTTGATCCCTCTTTGCTGCCTGACTGCAGCACGCCAGGCTCCTCTGTCCTCCACTGTCTCCCAGAGTTTGCTCAAATTCATGTCCATTGAGTCCATTGAGTCAGTGATACTATCTAACCACCTCATCCTCTGCCACCCCCTTCTCCTATTGCCTTTAGTCTTTACCAGCATCAGGTCTTTTCCAGTGAGTCAGCTCTTCACATCAGGTGGCCAAAGTATTGGAGCATGAGCTGCAGCATCAGTCCTTCCAATGAATATTCAGGGTTGATTTCCTTTAGGATTGACTGCTTTGATCTTGCAGTCCAAGGGATTCTCAAGAGTCTTCTCCAGTTCCACAGTTCAAAAGCATAAATTCTTTGGCACTCAGCTATATCAATGCTATTCGAAAAATGAGTTGCATCAAAATCTCCTAGAAGGGGCTGTAAATCTAATTTCCTGATGCAACCTGAGATTCTCTTTCAGAGGATGTAGAATGGGACCCAGGAATTTGAATTTCCTGATGATTCCTCCAGAGGATTCTAATGCCCAATCAAGTTCGATAATATTTTGATTAGATTTGCTTTCTGTCATTTTGTAGGGTGAGCCCCCAGGGAACCAGGGCACAGAAAATTTCAGCTTTTTGTTTTGTTTTTTGACCATGTGACTTGTGAGATCTTAGTTCCCCAGCCAGGGATTGAGCCTGGGCCCCTGGCAATAAGAGTGCAGAGTTCTAGCCACTGGACCATCAGGTAATTCCTGAAAAATTCAGTTTTGATAAAGGGGGAGGAGGAGAAAGAAATGACAGGGGTGCTTCAGGAAGGGGAAAAACAAACAAGCAAACATAGCTTTGATATCTTAAATCAAATACACTAGATAAAATTACTAAGAGGAACACAAAAGAAGTAAGCAATGACACAGTTGTGAAAAGCTTCAAGCTGGTGCTGTGGCGGATGAGTCAAGGTGTTTCTGGTGTCCAGGGTGACCCTTCTCTTCTCTTTCTAGGTGCCTTGCACACCAAGGAGCCTCTAGTGGATACCAAATATGGGACACTCCGAGGAAAGCAGATACACGTGGGGAAGACGCCCATCAATGTCTTCCTAGGAGTTCCCTTCTCCAAACCTCCTGTGGGTGCCCGCAGGTTTGCTGCCCCAGAACCCCCAGAGCCCTGGGAAGGAATCAGAGATGCCACCACCTACGCCCCTGCGTAAGAACCACAGGACTGTGGGCTGGGAGGTGGGCAGATCCCAAGCAACGCGGTGAACCCATGCCCGCTTCTGGGCCAGGGTTTCAACAACTCACTGAAGAGCGCACTTGTGCCCAAAGGCAAGCCTGGGGACCATACTGGGCCTCAGTTTCCAAACCTGTATAATGAAGTAGCTGGTCTAAATGGTACTTGAGGCACTGATAAGGCTGCTTTTTATTCTCTTGTGGGAAGGCTCCAGGCAAAGAGGAGGTACATACTGACTGTACCCCCAGGACCTGCTGGGGAGCTGAGTTTCCCTAAATGTGTGTAAGGGACAGTACACACACACACAGAACCCTGAACTCTTCCCTCTTCCTCGGTGCTTGAACCTAAGAAGGCCACATGTCACCCCCAGCCCTTCACGGCAGAATATGGGGAAACCTGGACTCAGTTGCAGTTTCAATGTCCCAGGGTCTTAATGCAACCCCTAGCTGGGCCTGAATCACATGAGCATGTTGGGACAATGACTGCCCTTTGAAGCACTGGGCTTGGCAGTTTACCAAAAACAAGTATATTTACTGTTCACTCAGACCATTGAGTAATGCACTGTCCAGAATATTCTGTGATGAACACTAACACTGTTCAGCATTGGTTGGATAAATTACTGGATTTAGAAAAATGTCTACTGTGAGAACCTGGGTGTCAGGTGATATAAAAAACTACAACTACCTGGGTATCTAGTTGTTAAAAAACAGGATGTCCACTGTTAGAACATGATTGACTGTTACTGGAACACTGGGGTGTTGGTTGTTAAACTACTGGCCATCACTGAGAGAAGGCTAGGCATTCTGAATATTGTGTGATGACTGTTATTCGGAACTCCATGGATCAGGTGACAGAACATGCAAAAACCATTGTTGGAACTCTGAGGATCAGGAGTTTCGAGATTGTGGTGTCCCTTGCATAAACATCTGGGTGTCAGTTGTGGGAATACTGGCCACTGGCTGTTTTGGAACACAGAGTGTCAGGTGTAAGAATTTGTGGATAACTTAGAACAGATTGTGGGTGGTAATTAAGGGGAGAACAGGGAGAAAGAAAGCTCTCACAGAGACGGTGGCTTTGACCAGGGTAGTTACAGTGGAGATGGGTGGGAGTAGTCAGGCTCCAGATGTATTTTGAAGGTAAAATTGACAGGATTTTCTGGAGAATTGGATGTGAGTCACAAGGAAAGAAGAATAATCAAGGATAATGACTAGTTTGGGGGCAGAGCAGCAAGGCGAATACAGGCGCAATTTACCTAAATGGAGAAGACTAGGACAAGAGCACGTTTGGGCAAAACAAGAGTTCATTTTGGGGTATGTTAAGTTTGGCACGTCTAACAGATATCCATGTGGAGATGTGGAATAGATGGTTTGGACAAAGGGAGCTGGAAGGAGACTAGTCATCAGAATGTCAGGGGTGTGAAGCCTCAAGCCTGAAGGACATCAGCTCAGGAACGAATAATCAGACTGAAAAGAGAAATGAGGGTTGAGGCCTGGGGCATTCTCCTGCTTAGGCCGGAAAGAAGAGGAGGAGGAGTCACCCATGAGGTGGCAGGAAAACCAGGAGAATGGGATTACAGAAGCCTGGAGAAGGAAGTCAGGTGGCAGAGGATGAGCTGGTTGGATGGCATCACTGACTCAACGGGCAGGAACCTGAACAAACTTCGGGAGACAGTGGAGGACAGAGGAGACTGGCGTGTGGTAGTCCACAGGGTCGCAGAGAATAAGACACGACTCGGCGACTGAACAACAAAAAAGGAAAGCTTTGAAGAAGCAGAGAATGGCCGACCACACAGAGGGGCTACCAGGGCAAGTAAGGTGATGGGAGAGATTTAGCAAGATGGAAGTCACTGGTGACTTTGATGGGAATGGCTTTAGTGGCAGGTTGGAGACAGAGGCCTCAAATGCTTATAACCCCAGTTCTAGGCTCTCAGAGCCCTGGCCTTCGTGCTGGGATGCTGGATGTGATTTATTGGACAGCATAAAGAAAGCTGAGTGCCGAAGAATTGATGCTTTTGAACTGTGGTGTTGGAGAAGGCTCTTGGGAGTCCCTTGGACTGCAAGTAGATCCAACCAGTCCATCCTAAAGGAAATCAGTCCTGAATATTAATTGGAAGGACTGATGTGGAAGCTGAAACTCCAATACTTTGGCCACCTGATGTGAAGAACAGACTCATTGGAAAAAGACCCTGATGCTGGGAAAGATTGAAGGAGGGAGGAGAAGGGGACGACAGAGGACGAGATAGTCGGATGGCATCACTGATTCAATGTACATGAGTCTGAGTAAATTCCAGGAATTGGTGATGGACAGGGAGGCCTGGCGTGCTGCAGTCCATGGGGTTGCAGTCAGACATGACTGAGCTATTGAACTGAGCTGATCCTAACACCAACGTTAGCTGCTGCTGAGAAGTCAAGCAAAGACAATCTGTAGAAAGAGAGACAAGTTGGCTACCAGTGATCTTGAACAGGCTGGTAGGTGTGGAGGGAAAGAAAACTTATTGAAAAGTTTGGCCTTGAGGGGAAGAGAGAGAGAGATTAGTTGCTGGAGAAGGTGGGTAGCAGAGAATAGGTTTGGACCAAGGTATGTTGAAGTGCTTGGGGAAGGACTGAAAAGGAGCAGGTGATGATCTAGGGTTAGGGAGGTGGGAGTGAATTACACCTACAAACACACATACACACAGTGAAGACAGGCTGGCACAAGAGAAGGGAACAGAGGAGTAGGTAGACAGGGTTCCTGTATCCAGTCAAATGCGCCCAGCCCCACCTGTTATAAGAATAGCCATCCCCAGGGCTGGGCCAGCATGGAGGAAAGGCAAGATGTCCTGACAGCCCAAGATCCATACAGTACATAGGTATAGGGCCAAGTGCCAGGATTCAGATGAACACATCTCCATCCCTACCCTTTGAAAGCAAAAACAACCAATCAAAATTACTCCAAGCCAGTATTATAGTTAGTGGTGTATAGAGGCTTGGGAAGCCCAGAGGAGAAAGTGCCCAGCAGACACACACATAAGCTGGACCTTAAATGTGAGTAGGAGCTTGCTGGGCAGAGGAGAAGGCATTTGGTAGAGAGAACAGAGGCATGGGGGCTTGGAGGTGGGAGGCAAGAGGTCATGTGTATTTGGAGCAAAGAGTGACTGGGAAGTGATGACTAGATGGGAAGGAGAGCCTACATCATTGTGGGTGAACCTAGACTTTATCCTGGGGGAAGGAGGAACCAGGGAAGGTAATAAGGAGGGGAGTGACATGGTCAGATTTGTGTTTTCTGTCAATCTTTCCGGCCAGGGAGCGGAGGATGAGTTGGAGGGGAGGTGAAGAGGCAGGGGCAGAGTCCTGGCCAGAGTGATGGTGGCCTTCACAGGGCAGCAGCCTTGAAGTGAACAGAGGGAGCCTATTCAACTGCTGTTTTGGAGTCAGAATAGAGACTGAGGGGAGGACAGGGCATGTAAGAAAGGAGGTGCCCAGGGCACCCAGGTTTCTAGCTTGACAGCACCAACAGGTCTCCAACAGGAGCAGGGAACTGCTTCCTTCCTTGGGAACAGGCACAGCAAGGTGCAAGGCAGGGAATGCCAACCTGCCTCTTACCCCTGGACCTAATGTTAGTGGAGACTGCTAGGACAAGAATACACACACACACACACGTTGCCTGAATTTTGCTTTGGGTTCTAGTCCCTCACTACTGGAACCTGGGTTGAAACCATTCTCCCCACTATCATCACGGCACTGAAACCCAACTCACATCGTGCCCACAGGTGCCTCCAGGAGTCCTGGGGACAGGTCACCTCCATGTATTTCAACACACACAAACGATATAAATGGCTGCACTTCAGTGAGGACTGTCTGTACCTGAATGTGCACGCTCCAGTGCGAGCGCGCGGGGACCCTCTGCAGCCTGTGAGTACTCAGCCTTCAACCACTCACCATCCCACTCAAGCACCCCGCTGTCCCGCTCAGGCCTCAGCCCTTCTCGCCCAGGTGATGATCTGGTTCCCAGGAGGCGCCTTCCTCGTGGGTTCCGCTTCCACTTATGATGGTTCCGAATTGGCTGCCCGGGAGAAAGTGGTGGTCGTGGTTCTGCAGCACAGACTTGGCATCTTGGGCTTCCTCAGGTGGGCGGAACCGGAAACCCGCGCCTGGGGTCAGGGGCGGGGCCTCCTCGGTTCTTGGGTTAAAGGCGGAGGAGGTGAGGATTGGGTGGAAGAAAGGGGGCGTGGCCCATGGGGGCGTATCCTCGTGAGGGGCGTGGCAGGGAGGGTCTAATACTTAGAGCAGACAGGTGGGTACTCGCTACCGCATGGGGCCGTGCCCAATTATAAGGAGGGAAATGCGGTGGTTAGACCTAGTCTCTGAGGGACAGGGCGGGACAAGGCACGGGGCTCCCCAGCACCCAGGCATCGGGGCTCCTGACGCTGATAGTGAGCCCCGCGCGCTCAGCACTGGGGACAGCCAAGCGCGCGGAAACTGGGCGCTGCTGGACCAGGTTGCAGCTCTGCGCTGGGTGCAGAAGAACATCGAAGCCTTCGGCGGAGACCCAGGCTGCGTGACTTTGTTCGGCCAGTCATCAGGGGCCATGTGCATCTCGGGACTGGTGAGTGCAATGTCCAGACAGACCTAAGCACAGTCGCAGGACCGCGTGGCCCATGGGTTCTGCACATATACTTGTGCAGATTTGGGTATACAAGAACATTCCAATCCACAGACCTGCCCTCACCACTGCCATGGGTACCACCCCTCACAGCCAAGGATATCTATTCCATTCAGGGAGGAAACCAAGCCAGCCCAGAAAAGGCAATGCAAAGACTATGACTGTGGTGGGCCAGAAAGATCATCCAGCACTTCCTGCCTCTCCACATTCCCCCAGAGGTCTATGCCCGAAACAGAGACCACTGTGTGCCCTCTGGGCAGGGTTGGGGCCACAGATCAGGTGTAGGAGTCAGGCCTAGGTTAGAGACTGGGCTTTGCCCTTGACTTCTGGGGTACTGCTCACCTAGAGTTTGAGGGTAGGTCAGGTGCCCTGTGAGGGACATGTGGCTGGGCAGTCAGCAGGGAGCACATCACACAGGACCTCGTGGGCCACAGTAATAACACTCAAACACTTGAGCACATTCTGTGTGCCAGTCACTTTTCTAAGCACCTTATGTGTATTCATTCATTGAATTACCTCAATAATCCAAAAAGAGGAGTATTCCTGTTTTCTGCACTCTACAAAAAGAGAAGTGTTCTCCACTCTACAGAGTAAGAAAGTGAGGCCCAGAGAAGTTAAGCAATTTTATTGAAAATGCATTGGAGAGCAGGCAAAGATTTTAAGCAGGGGAGTGACACAATCAGATGTGCCTTTAGAGTTGGCTCTGCTGGATCTGGGTTAAAATGAAGCACAAACAGAGGCTTGGAGACCAGCTTGGGGTGAGGGGTGGTGTATCTAATGGAGGCTAGTTCTGAAATAGGAGCGGGAAGGATGGACAATAGATGAGTGATGCGGGAGGCCAAGTAGACAGGACAGGGCCAACTGCAGCATGCAGATGACCAGAGGAGAGAGGGAAGGCCCAGGTGGATGGTGTGGATAAGGGACAACACCCAGATGGGGAGTGGCTGGAGCAAGTTTGGGGCACATTAAGTCTGAGGTTCCCAGGACAGGATGGGGGTCCGAAATGGCAACCCACTCCAGTACTCTTGCCTGAAAAATCCCATGGATGGAGAAGCCTGGTAGGCTACAGTCCATGGGGTCACGAAGAGTCGGACACGACTGAGCAACTTCACTTCACTTCTCCAACCTGGGTAGCAGGGGAAGGCTAAGAGCTATCAGTGCAGGTAATTGGGGTCATGGGAACCATAGGGTCCCCTTCCCATATTCCTAGCCCAGTAGCAGAGGGGGGCCCCTATTGGTTTGTTACACCAGCAGAACCACTGCAGCAACACCAGATACCCTGCGGGACCCCTGGGGCCATTGCACAGAGCAGGACATGGATGCCCAGAGAGTGAAAGGCACAGGCTCTAGGTTTAGGACTCCAACCCAGAACTCCTGTCTCCCTCCTTGCTTCTGCCCTCTCTGGGCCCCTTCAAGCAGCCCAGCCAGGCCAGAAAGTCACCCCAAACTGCCCAAGTGGTCCCCATTTGCCAAGTGCATGTCATGGCTGCCACTCCCCCAACCCCTGCAGATGACATCACCCCTAGCCCGGGGTCTCTTCCATCGGGCCATTTCCCAGAGTGGCACCGCAGCACTCCAAATCTTCATCACTCCTGATCCACTGAAGGTGGCCAAGGTAAGTGCCTCCTCTCTCCTAAGGTTCAGCAAGGGAGGCAGGATGGGCACACTCCCAAGCACCTCTTCTCTTCACAGAAGATTGCCCAGCTGGCAGGCTGCAATCACAACAGCACAAAGATTCTCGTAGACTGCCTGAGAACACTATCAGGGGCTGAGGTGATGCGTGTTTCCCAGAAGATGGTAGGTAGAACTTCCTTCCAGCTTCTGACCCAGCTGCCTGCATCCTTCTGACCTGGTACCCAGCCTCCCCAGGCACTATGCAGTAGAAGATTCCCTTTAGTCCCATCCTCTTCTCTTCCCACAGAGATTCTTCAAACTGCACTTCCAGGAAGACCCTCAAGAGGTGAGCAGGCCCCATCCTGTCTGAACATCTCCTGTGAGCCAGACACTTACGATACTCAGGCCAAAATTCCTTCACAGGGCTGATGTTCCACTGGGGGCAGACAATAAACACTATAAATAAATGAATTATTCACTTCTTCAGGAGATAAGTTAATGGAAACAAAAGGAGAGTAAGGAGGTTGGGCATGTTGGGAGGAGTAGGATTTTAAATAGAAGGAAAAGAGAAGTCTTAGCAAAGATTTTCAAGAGATGAGAGAATGCGCTATGTGAGCACCTCTTGGTGTCAGCTGAGGGGTGGGAGATGGGGGAATCCTGAGTCTGAGTAGCCTGGTCCTGCCTGTGGCTAATCCTCTCTCACACCAGGTTGACTGAGCCCCAGCTTTTTCCCAGTCAAAGCACATATAGCTAGAGTAATTTCTGGAACTTGCTGAGCTGGCATCTTAGACCAATGGGGTCCTAGGAGGGTAAGTGGGAGGATTGGCTGGAAACCCCCTTTTCTTATAGATTGTGTGGTTCATGAGCCCCGTGGTGGATGGTGTAGTGTTCCAAGACAACCCCATTGAGGTCCTGATTCAGGGGCAGGTTGCACCTGTGCCTTACCTTTTGGGTGTCAACAGTCTGGAGTTCAACTGGCTCTTGCCTTTTGTAAGTGAAAAGGAGGGATGCCCATCACAGTAAGGGTAGCAGAGGATGCCTTTTGAGCAGTGCTGGGTACCAGATCAGATTCCAGAGGTCTCTCTGGGGATGCCCAAGAGTTTGGGAGCCTCCTACAGTCCCTGTGCAGTGAGAACTGTACAGGAATAATAAGAGGGAGAGAAGTGTGGTCTCTTGGAGGTTTGGGGGCCCCCCAAATCCTTAACTCATAGTGTGAATGGGTCCTCATATCCATTCCTTCCCCACCATGCGGCTGTACATCCTGGGCCCCTCCCTTGCTGCCGGGTGGATCAGGGCAGATGCCCGAGCTCAGGAGGGCCCTTCCAGCCCGCACTGCAGCTCCAAACCAAGTTAGTGATGGAGAGGTTGGGAGCAGGAGTGCGGGAAAGGTCATGGGTACTCCTGCTCTGAGAGAGCCTTGGGGCCTGATGTGGCACAGCTGGAATCCTTCCTAATGTTTGGGCCTGGCCTACACCTGGGCCCTTGCCTTGTGGAACAGATCGTGAAGTTTCCAATGAGCCATCTGAGGAAAGAAACCATCATCAAGCTGCTCTGGAGTATCAGCACCCTGTTGGTGAGGGGCCGTGCTATCACGTGTGCTCTGTTTGGTTGGACAAGGCAGCCTCCCTATTTTTACCTAGTGGCTGCTCTTCACAAAGGGCTCCCAGCCAGGACAGAGATGTTCCTTGGGGGGGCCTGGGGTTTTGCATGGGATCAGGTGGCTGCTACTGGGCAAGGCTCTCCAGACTTCCTTGGGGACACAGCAGGCAGTTCTCATGCAGCTAAAACACTGGGGTAAGAATTGTCAAAGGGGGAGACCTTCCCAGGAGGCTCCTCATCCCCCCCTCACCCAGGCCAAAAACTCCTGGGGGTGCCGAGCCTGGATCCAAGTCACTGGTGTGCTTACCTCTGACCCAGATGGCACCCCACACCTCAGGGTGGGTGTGACTTCCCCACCTAGAATGTCACCAAGGAGCAGTTACCACTGGTGATGGAGGAGTACCTGAGTGATGTGGATGACCATGACCAGAAGATGCTACAAAAACATGTGATGGACCTAGCTGGGGATGCTACCTTTGTGTACTCCACACTGCAGGCTGCCCGCTACCACCGCAGTATGTGGGGGCCTCAAGAGTGGCCACACCCTGTCCACTGGTGCTGCTTGCCACTAGGCTGACCAATCACTCACTCACCCTCTCTGTACCTCTGGGCTGATGTAGAATTCCAAGTGGCCACAGAAGAGGCAGCATGCTATCAACTGCAGAGAAGAGAGGCTGTTCCTTAGGGCTGAGGAGGGCAAGGCCAAGGCCAGCCCAGAGGAAACAACCTAGGGCGGTCAGGGAAGGTCTCCTGGCTGCAAGGACAGGCCTCTGTAGGGGTATCTTGGAGATCCTGCCCAGGCTGACCCAGGCTTGGGCAACACATGGGTGAGAGGTCAAAGGAGGGGCTGGAGAAGGTAGACACGGAAGAACCTTAAGTGCCAAATAGAGAGAGGAGAGGTTCAGTGGAAGGAAGAAGAAGGCTTACCACAATCCCAGGAACTGTTTTCACGTCCCTAGTCTGCAGATGAGAACTTGCAGCTCTGAGAGGTTGGGTGTCTTGCCCCAGGTTACATGACTAATGAGTAGTGTAGGTAGGATTCGAATCTGCTCCCTGGATTCTGAAGCCCAAGCTCTTTCCCCTGATTGATGCAAGTGGGTGGGATGCGTGGGGTGGATGAGAAGTCAAGGCTGAGACTTTTTCAGCAGCCTTCATTGGGTTCCTTGTTCCTAGATGCTGGCTTCCCTGTCTATCTTTACGAGTTTGAGCACTACGCTCCTGGCACTATCGTAAAACCCCGCACTGATGGGGCAGACCATGGAGATGAGATCGGCTTCATCTTCGGGAGTCCTTTCTCCAAAGGTGCTGAAGCCCCACCTGACTCCCCACTGGGTGTCTAATCTCTCCATCTTTGTGTTCTGACCCCACCCTCCCTGGCTGACCACAGGGAGTTAGCTTGCAAATTCTTAATCTGGAATACTCTCCCAAATGAAAGCATCCCAGAATGGAAGCAGTGGGGTGGGATGTCCCCACCCCGTGGTCTGTTCTAAACACCACCTTCCATTCTGCCTCCAGGCCATTCCTCAAGCAAGGAGAAGGCACTGAGCCTCCAGATGATGAAATACTGGGCCAACTTTGCTCGCTCAGGGTGAGTCTGATCCCCCAACACGTGTGGGTGGTCTTCCTACCAGCGCTAGACCCAATGGTCAGCTGTTTCAGATATTTGTCCTTGTGTGTCCCATAGAAAAGGCACCCAGGCCTAAATGTCCCTAGAATGTGCCTCTCTTTGTCCCATGACCACATCCTTCATTCACTCAAGCATTCCACAGTCACTGCCAATGTGCTTTTTTGTGGCCAGCTCAATACTGGGAGCTGGAATTCAAGGGTATCATAGACATGATCCCCATCTGCCAGCAGCCTGTTAATGGTTAACAAAAATGTTAAATTACCATCTGGCATGATGAGAATTGTGTTAGGGGAGCAGAAGGCACTATGAAAGCATAGAGGAGGTGTCTGACTGACCTGGGGTGGGCAGGGGCAGCTTCCTGGCAGAGATGACTTCTGAGCTGAGCTTTGGCTAGTCTTGCAACTAGTTTCCATCTCCACGTTCTCTCTCCTTTCTCTCCATCCTCCTGATGACACTCAAGGGATCTTTCTGAAATATCATTTGACCAATTCACCCACTTAAAACTTCATGGCTTCCCTTTGTTCCCAGGTAAAGTCCCATCCCCTTCACTTGGAACAAAAGTCTTCAAAATCCTTCCAGTTTCATCTCCTCTCCACACCTATTCTCTTGACACACTCTATATTTTCACCTAACCCTGTACTTGTGTTTCTTCCAAAAGCCCTGGGCCTTCATACCTCCAACCCTTTGCACATAGAGTTCCCTCTGCCTCAAAGTCCCCTCCCACCACACTTTTCCTCCTCTTTCTTAAAGATCTGTCTAAATATCATCTCTGTAAGGCCTTCTTGAACCCTACCTCCCAAAGGGAAAGTGAATGAGGGAAAAGTAACAGAAGGAGGCAAGATGAAGATGAGCTCAAATAATCCTCTCTCCTTCCTCCTGGGCAGAAACCCCAATGGTGGGAAGCTGCCCTACTGGCCACGCTACAACAGGGATGAGAAGTACCTGCAGCTGGATTTAACCACAAGGGTGGGTGTGATGCTCAGGGAGGAGAAGATGACCTTTTGGAAGAGGCTACACCAGAATTAAGGACCTGAAAAGCAAGGCAATTCTGAGAGTGGCTCTGCAGGAGGGAGCCTTAGGGATTGTCCCACCATGCAGGCCTTAGGAACACTAACCGTAACCGTGGACGTATCTGGGACAAGCATCCTGCCCTCCCCAGTCCAGGTCCTGCAGAGGGTCCATATTCCTTCCATGACAGAGCCTTAGCCTGTTTGGGGACCAGAATCACCCTCTTCTGCCTGTCATCCCATGATGTCCAGTTATCTCATTGACCATTGGATTAGTCCAGGCCCTTTCTGCCAGATTCTGCCCAGCTACCCAGACTCAGAACAAATGCTTCTCTTCCTTCTCCAAATCCTCCCATCCATCAAGGTCAACTTCAAGCCACTCCTTATGGGAAATCCACCCAGATTGCCACTGCCGCACCATTGCAAACAGTTTGCCGTTCGCCATTCATCCTGCTCAACCTTATGCCTTTCACATTGGACTGAGGCCTTGGGCAGGTTATATGTTATAAGGAGTGATGCTTTGACAGCTGGGGATATTCTCCCCTTTCCATACTGATTTTTCCCAGGGCCCCTTCAAAGCCTGGCCACAGAGACAGTCCTTAATAAAGACACGTTGACTTGCCCTGAATTTGTGTCCATCTGTGAAACAGTTGGGTGAAGCGGATGGTTTCTCGATTTGAGTCCCTGGAGGGAGGGAGCACTACTGGCTTCTCTCTGCTGGTCTGAGCCTGCGCTGCTCACTCAGTCAAGGAGAGCTGCTGCAAAGTTGCCTGGGCTGCAGAACACCTGGCTTTTTTTTTTAGGGCAGAAACCCCAATGGTGGGAAGCTGCCCTACTGGCCACGCTACAACAGGGATGAGAAGTACCTGCAGCTGGATTTAACCACAAGGGTGGGTGTGATGCTCAGGGAGGAGAAGATGACCTTTTGGAAGAGGCTACACCAGAATTAAGGACCTGAAAAGCAAGGCAATTCTGAGAGTGGCTCTGCAGGAGGGAGCCTTAGGGATTGTCCCACCATGCAGGCCTTAGGAACACTAACCGTAACCGTGGACGTATCTGGGACAAGCATCCTGCCCTCCCCAGTCCAGGTCCTGCAGAGGGTCCATATTCCTTCCATGACAGAGCCTTAGCCTGTTTGGGGACCAGAATCACCCTCTTCTGCCTGTCATCCCATGATGTCCAGCTATCTCATTGACCATTGGATTAGTCCAGGCCCTTTCTGCCGGATTCTGCCCAGCTACCCAGACTCAGAACAAATGCTTCTCTTCCTTCTCCAAATCCTCCCATCCATCAAGGTCAACTTCAAGCCACTCCTTATGGGAAATCCACCCAGATTGCCACTGCCGCACCATTGCAAACAGTTTGCCGTTCGCCATTCATCCTGCTCAACCTTATGCCTTTCACATTGGACTGAGGCCTTGGGCAGGTTATATGTTATAAGGAGTGATGCTTTGACAGCTGGGGATATTCTCCCCTTTCCATACTGATTTTTCCCAGGGCCCCTTCAAAGCCTGGCCACAGAGACAGTCCTTAATAAAGACACGTTGACTTGCCCTGAATTTGTGTCCATCTGTGAAACAGTTGGGTGAAGCGGATGGTTTCTCGATTTGAGTCCCTGGAGGGAGGGAGCACTACTGGCTTCTCTCTGCTGGTCTGAGCCTGCGCTGCTCACTCAGTCAAGGAGAGCTGCTGCAAAGTTGCCTGGGCTGCAGAACACCTGGCTTTTTTTTTTCACTGTCTCGAGTGCACCTCTCAGGACATCCACACTCCACACTCACTTGTCCACTGGGTGAGGTCTTGGTGCTGCATTCAGACTCCTTACTCTCTGGTCTCTCTTGCAACCTGGGCATAACCCCACTGCCTCCCATAGGTTTTTTGTTCAATTGGGGAATTTTTAATGGATTTTTTTATTTTTGGAAAATATACACAACATGCAATTTACCATTTTAACCATTTTAATTTCAGTGACATTAAGTAAATTTACATTATCATCATCATCATCCATCTCCAGAATTTTTTTATCATCCTAAACTGAAACTCAGCGTCCATTTAACAATAGCTTCCTATGCATCCAAACCCTGGTACCCACTATTCTACTTTCTAGCCTATGAATTTGAGTATTTCAGGAGCTTCGTGTGAATGGAATCATACAGTATTTGTCCTTTCATGTCTCGCTTTTTATACTTAGCATGTCTTCACATGTTGTAGCATATTTCAGAGTTCTATTCCTGTTTAAGACTGAATTATGTTCCATTGTATGTACATACCACATTCTGTTTCTCTATGTATCTGTGGATGGACATTTGGGTTGTTACCACCTTTTGGATGATGTGAAAAATGCTCTGAACATGAGTGTAGTGTTCCATGGGTTTTGTGCCATAAACTATAATGTCGATTAGGTTCTTTATTCCCAGAGGGTTTCCTTAATCTCTGAGACAACTGGAGGCTGCAAAGCCCCATGGGGTGAGGGACACCCAATCCTCCATACCCTCACATCTAAGCCACTAATCCAAAGGGATGGCTGGAGGAGGGAGAAGAGCCCTTTTCGGGTAAACATTTATCTTCATGACAATGCTGGCACATAGATTTTATTATCCCATTTCGACAGACAAGTAAACTGAGACAAGAAACATAAAAGTCCTTGCTCAAGGTCATGAGCCAGTGGTGGCAGAGTGGGAATTTGATCCAGGCCTGTCTGACTCACCCTGCCACCTCTATCCAGACCTGGAACAACCCCTGAGAGAACGTGGCCCCCAGAGGAGGTGTGACAGCTCCAGTTTCAGGGGAGGAGTAGCCAGAAGTCGCTGTCTACCTCTAACCAGGGAATAGGTGACTAAATAGCCATTTCTCAGTGAAACCCAGAGTGAGGGCTAGGAGCTCAGCCCCCTGGAGGGCGGTCCTGGGCAACCAATACAGAAATCAGCAGATGCTGGCTGAGGTCAAGCTGGGTTTCACACACACACACACACACACACACACACACACACACACACACACAGAGGACATCCTGCCCTGGGGATCCAGAGGCCTGACCTCAGACTGGTCCAGGACTGCTTCTGAGGCTCCCTCAGTTCTCTCCTCAGGCTTTCTCATGCAGGGCTGGGAAGGGAGCTTATGTGAACAGTCACCCACCCATAGAGTATCCTCTTCGGAATCAGAGGGAGAGCAGCTGAATCACAGCCAGGGCTCAGCCAGCTGCAGGAGCTGTGAGGATCATAAAGGAATTCTGAGAACCCTAGCACCTTCTCTAAGAACTCAAGCCAGCAAGAACTCTGATGGGCAACCTGGATGGTGGGCTGCGCCCCTGCCTCCCATAGTCCCTGCCTCATATCCTCCCTTCTTGCCTGCTTTTCTGGGATGTCACTGCTGGATGAAGGGGCTGGAGAAGGCAACGGACTGCCCTGTCTCCATCCTGTCTTCATGCCTTCGCTGGGATCCCCCCATGGCCACCCAGAGTCCTTCCGAAATCCCCTTTCGCAGGGAGCTCTTCTCAGAACTGATTAGATCTTGGTGACGACCCCAGGGCGCTTCTGTGGCTTTTCCCGTTTACCTCAGCTCTCCCGGGCCACTGTAGGTCCTCTGACTTGGGGGCCTCCAAGGCTCCTTCCTAGGGTGGCCAAGCCCAGAGCAGATCCCTGTTGGCGGCCTTAGCAGGGCCTGGCTTGAGAAACCCTGGGCTTGTGCTTGATAAAGCTCCCGCGGCAGGCAAGGTGGGCAGAAGGGTGGGTGGGCAGTGCGGGACCGCAGGACCCTTTTCACTGATAAGCCAATGCATGGGCTTCCTTCCCTGGGTCCCGGCCCTGCACAACCTGCCTTGCTCACCTATAGGCGTTGAGACCCAAGGGGGATCAGTCTCATCCTCTGGGAACCCACAGGCTGCCTAGACGGAAGTGCCAGGGACTTGGCTGGGATCCCAAGCTTATGGAAACTCTGAGGTCCAGGGAGGCTTCAGGTGAAGGAAAGAGGCGGCACCACCATTTCAAGGCTCACCCTTCCCCAGCTGACTCCTTTCTAGCCCAGACTGGACACACTGGGCCCTGCAGTCGGGGCGGGGTGGGCCTATGCCCAGGGCACATTCTGGATGAGGCTGGGGAATGGAAGAAGCAGGGGAGAAGGGTTTAATGGAAAGGCTCACAGGTGGGATTCACCAGAGATACGCTGTACAAGACTCCCATTTCCTGTGCCACGCAGGGCCAGGTAAGAGGTGCTGGGACCTCTGACCAGTCCTGCACGCAGTGTCCTGGGGTTAAGAGTGGCTTTATTTCTATGCCCCCATAGTTTCCCAGGTGGTGCTAGTGGTAAAGAACCTGCCTGTCCATGTAGGAGACGTAAGAGACGTGCAAGTTCAGTCCCTGAGTTGGGAAGATCCCCTGGAGGAGGGCATGGCAACCCACTCCAGTATTCTTGCCTAGAGAATTCCATGGACAGAGGAGCCTGGCGGACTACAGTCCATGGGGTCACAAAGAGTCAGCAACTTAGCATGCATGAATGCACACCACTCAGGTCTGGTCTTAGTAGGGAAGGGCTGGAAGCCTGCCTTGTGCCCTAGAACCTCATTCAGACCCTGCTGGACCAGACTTCCTGTGAAGGAGAAGGGATCACTTCCAAGCGAATGAGAATTCCCCCTTTCTACGTACCAAGGTGATTAGCTGTATGGAGAGAAGATGGGGGAAGACTGAGAAACTGGGTGTGGGGATTGAGTAAGGAAGAGAGACCATGACAGAGATACCACCTTCAGTCCTTCGTGGAATGAGGTGACAGTGCATTAAATTAAAGCATAAGACTTCCCCGGTGGTTCAGTGGCTAAAACTCTGTGCTCCCTATGTAGGAGGCCTGGGTTCAGTCCTGGTCAGGGAACTAGATCCCACATACCCTAGCTAAGAGGGCACATGCTGCAACTAAAGATCCTGCCTGCCACAACAGAGACAGAAGATCCTGCTGCAGCTAAGACCTGGCACAGCCAAGTAAGTAGATAAATGAATGGAAAAAAAAAAAAAAAGAGCATGAGGGAAAGTATGGACATAGGTGACAGAGACAGTGGAACAGTCTGCCAAGAAACTTAGAGGGTGGAGAAAAGAAACAGAAGCAGGCACACATACCTAGACAAGCAAATGAACAGAGAGCCAGGGCAGTGCTGGGGGCTGTCCTGGAGAAGGGCACTACCTGGGCACTTAGAAGGGGACAGAGAGCAAAGGATCTGTTTCTCATCCCGATTGTCTGACTGCTGAGACCCTTCAGGGCATGACAGAAGGGTCATCTGAAAAGGCTGTGGGAGCACAGAGATGAACCTCTCTTGGGCTGGGTTGGGATGCTGGGGAAGGCTTCCAGGAGGAGCACCTGAAAGGACCAGTAGGAAAGAGTGGAAGGGATGAAGATGGAGAGAGAAGGGGAGGAACCCAGGCCCAGAGGCAGGAATTAGCCTCTTCCATCCCAGCAGCTGTGCATCAGCGTGGCCTACACAGGAAGATTAAAAGAGGAACCAGGCCCAGAGCTGGAGCACCAGGCCTATAAGCCTGGGAGGGAACACGGCCCCGACCCTGAGGTACTGGATAGCTATGGGAAGGACAGGTACCGGGAAGGACAGGCTTATCTTCCAGAAGGAGCAACTGGAGGAGGA